CGGTTGGGAAGTAGGCCGCAACACAGTAGTTCAAAAAGGAATTCAAGAGTTCATAAACTCAGAAAATGTCCCAAGAGAAGCAACTCCAGGATGAGAGAGAGATGACCGTAACCAGCAATGCAACAGATAAGCAGTTCCAAAACAGTCAGCAATTCCTTCTCTTTTTTTTATACATAAAACAGGTCCTTATGGCCCTGGCTCCATATCCATTTTGAGGAGCGTCAATCCTTTTTCTATTCCACCGGCAAGTCAGAATCACAGTCAGCAATTCCTAACTCCAAGAATGTACAAAGGGAAGGGTTTGCAGAATGAAAGAGAGAACTACTTGTGTTAAGGAAAACTCCAAGCACTCGTAAAAGCACGAAAAAGTGGAAGGGGAGTGGTCCCAAAATGAGAGAGTAAGTTTCCAGAATGAGAAGATTCAAAGAATGAGGGATCGAGGACCGTACTCTTTTCAGCATCTCGAATCATTGCCATCAAATCATCCACAGAAATCCCAGTGTCCTCAGGAGCTGGAGGCTGAGCGACCTGTTCCCACCATTCACCACCAAAAGCCAAGAAACTGCTGCTTCGTTCAGCATATCGTTCACTGACACATCTTTTTCAAGCTCTCATTTTTCTTCAACAAAATGTTACTAAAGACAAGCAAGGCATTCGTCCCCCACAGTTATGGAGCCTCCTAGGAAAAACAAAACTAATTCCACACTGAATCCACAGCTCATTCTGCGGAAGGACAAAGAGCGAGTACACACGTTTTCATTGTTTTTTTTTTCATTTATCATCAGGAGTTACCATGTTTTCCGCACCTCTTCTTGAGCAACCGATGCCGTTGCTGTTACGGTCTCCTCTCCAGATTCCCTTCCTCCTCTATCACCAGCTACTCCTGCCCCGATCCCATCTACGATCTTGCCATTCAACTCCAGATCCTGGTTCTCCACTGTGTCCGTTGCCTCTCGTGTGCGCGACTGTCGCCCTGCTGTTTTCTGGCTTCGCCCAAATCCCCGTCCCCTGCAATCAGACAGAGCAATCACAACAGCCCCCTTCATTATTATCAATTTGTACCTTCCAAAGTTCCCCAAACGGCACAACACATAAGAGCAGGCCCAGATATAAATGAGTTTTGGCTGAGGGTCATCTTAAAATTCATGACCAACTACAGAAAAGAGCGAGTGAGTATCATTCAAACAAACACTTCCCTTTGGGCACCCCCCAATCTGGATCTAATCCATACATCCAGATGGTACCTGGACCCTGGACCAGCTCTACTCCAGATGGGTCTGGGGTCCAGATCTAGTTCAATCATGCTCGATATGGTCGACTCTTTGGTTCTGCTCAGTGCCCTCTTAGTACCCGTGCCCTCTTTATCACCTCATAGAGGCACTCAGGGAGGATCTTAAAGATACCAATACACCGGACCGTAAATTGTCAACTGTGGATTTTTTTGTGCCTGAACGAGTCAAACCAGTCCCCCTCCGGTACATCGAATGCGCGCCTCCTTGCCCACTGGCAAAAGTTGCAGTTGAAGGCATTCATACTCGTGGTTTAAGACCCTTGCATGCCTTGCCAAAGTACGTCAATTTTTTTTCAAGGCTTTCCAACTGCACCTTAGGTTACCAGCCTTGGGTCTCTAACCCCAATCTACATCCAAGCACACAGTGTGATGGCATGTTAACAATGACAGGGTGAGATAAGAAGCGCATAATGAACCAAGTGCCATTAGTGGATCAATGGCCATTGCATAGTCTAAGAATTATCAATTCTGCAGCAGGTAGTGATTTCTGGCAACTGGAAGTAGATATTGATGTCACTGCTTCTCTGCGGGCCGGCAGACATGCATGCATGCATGCACACACACACACACAATCATTTTTGTGCCCACATACGTGCACACACACACACGCACACACACGCACACACACACACACACACACACACACACACACACACACACACACACACACAATCATTGTTGGCTTTCCTTGTATGTTTGCTGTCTTTCTTCCTGTGTTTTCTGTGTCTTTCCTCCTCCTATTTTTTCTAAGTACTTTTTGCCTGGCTAAGCAAGCACCTTTAAGCAGTGCCAAATAGTTGGTCATTGCATTTGAGGTGCCTACAAGACTTTTGGGGGGGCTGCTCAGTTCGGGATGTTTGTGTTTCCTACAGGTGATGACAGACATCCATCGAAGCGACTCCCCCGCTCAGCGGATGGTGGGGACCAACATTCTGTGGGGTTCTTCTTGTGGTGTGAGTAGGTGATGGATGGCTTTGGTCCGTGTTGAGAGTTTGGACTGCCTTGTTTGCGCTCTCTGCTGCCTTGTTGCCTGCCCGCTTGCCATGCAAGCCTTTTCCATGCTGGTTGTCTGCTTGCCATATGGTTTGTCAGTGTTGCTTTGTGCCTCGCTGTATTGCAGCCTTGCTGCCCATCCACATTCCTTGTCGTTCCGTGTGTTTTACTCGTGTGTCGTGTGGTTTGGCCACTTTTGTAGCGCTGCTCTGTGCTCTGTTGCGAGCCCCGGATTTGAACGTGCAGTTTCTTGTTGACATCCGCACGCTCATATACATGGCTGCTCTGTGCTCTGTCATGAGCTGCATGTACCATCTATCAAGCACTCCGCTGCATTGTTTCCTCAAAAACCAGCAACATGTAAACAAAGTTGCTGTTTAACAAACAGCTTATATCTAGTTATACGTCCATACAAGCAAAGTTAGCAAACATCGCCTGTGAACCCTAGGGCAAGAAGAGAGGGGGAGGAAAAAACAGAAAAGGAAGGAGTAAAAAAAAAAGGCTTCAAAATGAAGCAGAAGATAGACTTTACCATTGCGACCAAGGAATTCCAAATAACTTCGCAACAAAGACGGTAGAAAAGCCGGATAGAACAAAGGACTTAGAGGCTCCAGAACAACTGTGGAATTCAGGAAAAGAATAGACTAAGATAGAAATAAGCACTGCTCTTGTTTCGTCAAATATATCCGACGGCCAAACAGCTGAAAGGAGCAGGTAAGGGACCGATCCCCCAAACAGAGATATAGGCAAAGGATAAGTAGAATCAAGTCAAGGACCGAGGAAACAAGGAATCCTTAAGAGTAAGACACTGACATCAGCTTAGGCAAGCGTGAGGGATGATGGTGCATCCTTCGCACAGGAAGTAATCAATGCCGTCCACTCAGGCCTCCTAACTAGAATGGGGAGAAGCGTAGGAGTGTGTAAACGTGTAATTCCCTTTGACTTGCCAGTGGGATAGGAACTGGACTGATGCTCCCCAGAATGGACATGGAGCCAGAACCAAAAGGTTCTGTTTTTTCTTAGAACAAAACAAGAAGAAAAAGAAGCCGAAGATAGTCGACAAAGAGAGGGTTCCCACTTACTGATTTGAGGTCTTGGTCGAATTGCTGGTTCGCATGCGGCAAACAGTGTGAAGGTGATGTACACCCATCCTCGATCCCAGGGAAAGCCGCAGTGGTTGTCCCAGACTGAGCCCCACTCTGCAGGTGTGTAACAAATGAGAGAGAGAGACAGAGACAGAGACAGAGACAGTCTCAGACAGATATATATTGTCACATAACTATGAACTACAAGAGCGCACTTTGCGAAACAAACGGCAAAAATTAAAAAATTAAAAAACAAGACAAACATTAAGGGCACACTGAAATAAAGATATACACAGAGAGATAGAGAGAGTGGACTTCAGATTAGCAATCGCCATGCACGAGCATGCAACATAGCATTTGAGTAAGTCAATTCAAATATGACATAAATTCTGTGTACCAAACAGCAGCTTTTGCTCTTTTTTTTTTTTTCGTTTTTAACTTCCACGATGATGGTGCTCATTTCAGTTGGTAAACCATGAACTGTTGAAATAAATGCAATAACCCATGCCATGTGTCTCGTAGAAATCTGAGGGCCGACCTGGCCGCCCTCAGCCAGGCCAAAAACGAGGTAAGGGACCCCACACAGGGATTCAGGGCCTGGGCGTGCTACAGTTGACTTTTGTCAACTGTCGGGACCCCAACAGTCAAAGTCCAAAGGTACCCAGTCCAGGCCACCGGTCAAGCACACACACTTGTTTGTATGCAGGTACCCAGACAGCATCAAGTCCAAGGGGAAATTCTGCAACTGTACAATCCAGGCCTTCGGCTGTGCCTCAATCTGGACGACTGAGGGGAGGAGACTCGAGGCCAGAGAGCCTCGCCAAACACTACTTAAAGTTGGGCTTCGAGGTGGTCAGCATTCAGTCTTGCTATGCTGGTTCAACGCTGGCTTGACTTTGACTTGACGCTGGCATTATGCTAGCGCGACGCTGGCTAGACGCTGGCTGTGTATCAGAGCTGCAGATGACAACACGAGGGAGAGAGGTGACGCTGGCATTGTACGCCAGGCATGCTGATGTGGCATTGCCTGTAGACTTCATGGCATGCTGACGTGGCGCTGCCTCTGGTATACGTGGCGCTGCCTATGGTCTACGTGACATGCTGATGTGGCGCTGCCTCTGGTATATGTGGCGCTGCCTATGGTCTACGTGGCATGCTGACGTGGCGCTGCCTCTGGTATATGTGGTGCTGCCTATGGTCTACGTGGCATGCTGACGTGGCGCTGCCTCTGGTATATGTGGCGCTGCCTATGGTCTGCGTGGCATGCTGATGTGGCGCTGCCTCTGGTATGTGTGGCGCTGCCCCTGGTATATGTGGCGCTGGTTCTGGTCTACGTGGCGCTGCTATTGGTCTTCATTGATGATGTGGCATAGGCCACCTGTCGTTGCTGACGTGGCATTGTCCACGCTGTCTACATGAGGTGACTGGTTGCGAGGAAGGGGAAGATCAGGGCTGTGGAGAGATCGTGAATACGTACCTGGTTGTCTTCATGTTGACATTGCTCCAGTGCTGATGACGGACTAATTAGACGTGCCATGTGGCACATTGAGGATACTTCAGATACTCGTTCAGACTGTCGATTGTTGAAGTGATGTTGGAGGAGGGAGCCCGAAGCAGGAGTGGGGATTGTATCTATTTCCTCTCCTTTGTCTAACCTCCCTCCTCTCTCCTTCATCTGTGTATGATTATCTCGTCTCGTTCTGTCTGGACACATCAGCTATTGAGATACATCTGGACTTGCATTGTTGATAACTGTCTTCACGATCTGGGTTCATTACATACAGACCAGAGTCCAGATGCAATCAGATGAACTGCCCTGGGGCTGTCCAGCAGCTCAATGAGCACATCGCCATGGCCGAGATGTGCTCATTGAGCTGCTGGACAGCCCCAGGTAAGTCCATCTGATTGCATCTGGAGTTGAACTTGGGTCTGTATTTCAAGAGTTCATGGGTGTACCAACTGACATGAGCACCATCATCACGGAAGTTACAAAAAAACGAAAAAGCAAAAGCAAAAAAGAAAAACTATTGCCCAAGCGGGCTAGCTCAGTTGGTTGAGCACGTAAGTGGCACTCAGGAGGTCGTGGGTTCGATTCCCAACGTCGTCCTTTCAATTCCCACGGCCTCCTACCATCTTCACCCTAATAGAATGCCCGGTCATTATAGCTGAATCTGTCGCAACTTTCAGCCCAGATACGGCAATAATTACCAGGTGTTCTATTCGGGTGAAGACCGTAGGGGTATACTTCCGGTTTTCACCAGTGGAGATTGTCGGCTTTGGGCCTCCTGGCTGGTTAGGGAACGTTGCTCCGGCCTACGCCAGGTGTTAGCAGCCTGAGTACTGCTCCTCGCACTGAGCAGAGGGTGGTAGACAGAGACCCATAACCGTAGGATAGCTTAGCTTAGGTGAGGTTATTTAAAAGCGGTTCTTGTCTCCAATTATTAGGCATAGAGTAGGTTGTTGGCTACTTTCCCTAGTCCATAGTCTCTTGGCCTGCTATCTGCGCTTGGCGTGTCTGGTGCCTGGTGGTCTCGGGTTGAGGTGCTGGGTTGCCTTGAAACAGTTTTCACCTTTGGCAGTAGCCGATGCAGATCCCAGGGGTCGATCCCTTGACCTCAGCTTACCTGTGTACAGT